CCTCCTGCATGACAGGGTCCGAGGGCTGCACGTCCACCAGGATCGTGGGAGCTGCGGAGAAGAAACCCGACGGCACCAGCCGGGCACAGAGGTCGGAGATGACACCTTGGACCTCCTGCCAAGACCCAGCTCCTCTATGAAAGGACACCCCGCCAAGCACCCAAATCCTGTGGAAACCCTCTCCACACGCCATATCTGCTCCACGCATGGACAAAGACGTGCGTGAGGCCCAAGCCCTCACCGATGTAGCGCTCGGCCTCGTCCGTCTGTCCCCCGATGGCCACGCGCCCGCTGCACAGCAGCTTCCGCACCCGCTGGAACTGCTTGTCCCCCACAATGCGCCCAAAATCCGGGGATTCCTGGGGGTTGGGGCCAAAAAACTCCACGATGGCCTCGCGCAGGGCGGGCAGCAGCTTCCCCTGCATCTCCAGGCTGCAGAGCAGGTAGTCAGGCGCGATGCAGGTCTGCCCCGCGTTGAAGAAGCGGCCCCAGACCACGCGCCGAGCCACGTTGGGTATGTCGCAGGTGTCGGACACGTAGCAGGGGTTCTTGCCCCCCAGCTCCAGCGTCACTGGCGTCAGGTGCTTGGCAGCGGCCGTCATCACGATCCGCCCCACCCGGGGGCTGCCTGCGGGCAGGGAAAACGGGGGGGATGGGGACAAACCCACCAGCCATGGCACACCTCTGCCATGTGGCACCCTGGGGCCAGAGCACACACACTGAGTCCCACCAGACCTCAGACGCACGTCCCAGATCCTCCAACACATCCTGGCACCACAACCCCAAGCCAATCTCTGCCTTTTAGCAGGCATGTCCAGAGGGAATCCCTCTTCCCCCTCACACCAAAGCCAGGCAGGGCTCTGCTCTGTCCTACGGGATTACCTGTGTAGAAGATGTAGTCGAACTTGTTCTCCAGCAGCCTTGTGGTCTCCTGCACACCCCCAGTCACCACAGCAAAGCAGTCCTGCAGGAGAACAGAACAGGTCCCCTACTCTCACCATCTGTCCTCTCCAACAACATCCTGGGATGCTGGGACACTCGCTGGGCATGGAGGAAGGAGGCTGGGCAGCTCACGGTACGAGGGATAGTGTACGGGTGGGCACAGGGCACAGCTCTGAGTGTGCAGGGGTAGGAACACCCCAGCCACGAGACAGGGATGAAGAGAGCATCTCACCTTGTCCAGGTAGCAGGGCAGCGCTTCTGCCACGAGTCTCTCGGTGTTCTTGGATATTTCTGAGGGTTTGATGATGACACAGTTCCCTGGGGGAGATCGAGAGGATGCTGGAGCAGTGACATGGTAACAGACAGCCCTTCTGGGGACGAGGTGCCTTCGCCAGTGCTTGGGACCGCCCTGATCCTCTGGGCCAGGGGACTGTAAGGTGGGGCTCACCAGCAGCGATGGCCCCAATGAGGGGCCCCAGGATGAGGTAGATGGGGTAGTTCCAGGGCGCTATGATGAGCACCACCCCGTACGGCTCCTTGCGGATGAAGGCCGAATCCAACCGGGTCGCCTGAGGACACCCACCACAACAGGTCCCATCCTGCACCACCATCCCACCCAGCTCTGCCTCCCGTCCTCTCCCTCTGCTTCCCTCTCACCAGAGGCCTGTCCACGTGCTCGTCCTTCATCCAGTGGGACAGGTTGTTCAGGGTCTCGTGGAGCTCATTCTTGCACAGGAGTGTCTCGGATAATTCAACCTCAAAGGGCGGCTGGGGACACCAAGGACCTGACATGTCACCTCAGCGTGTCCCGCAGCACAGGGCAGCTCATATCCTCACACTCCACATTCTTTCCCCCAGGATCTGGGGACTGAAGCCCTGGAGCCTCCCCATCCCATGGTGAATGGGCACCCCCCCCCAAGGATGCTGAGCACCCCCCTGTGTCTGTGGCATGAGGTTTTTAAGCACTGACTGCTTAAAAAAAAAAAAACAGGAAAACTGACGCAGGTCCCATTGATCCAAACAGCAGAAAGGATGGGGAGGGAAGGTGTCCAAAGGTTGGAGAGCAGCAGACAATGAGCCCTGTGTGGTGGTGGAGGCTCCAGCTGCAGAGCCACAGAGTGCAGCCACAGAGTCCAGGCTCGGAATGCGGCAGCCTGGGCAAGCCCTCAGGGAGAGAAGGGAGTGACCATTCAGTGGGAAGCTCGGGCAGGGAGCAGGGATGAAACTGCCCAGGAAAGAGGGAAACAGAGGCTGGTAGGTGCGGGAATGTCTATCGATGCCGGGAGGCTTCTCACAGCCCCCTCTGCCCACGTCAGGGCAGGGACAGGCTCTGCAGGGGAGCTGGGACATGCTTCACCTCACTCTCCCAATTCCAGAGGCTGCGAGCCGGGGTCGGAGTCCATTTGGAGGTGGAGCACTCAGAAGGAGGAGGACACAGCGCCCTCAGCCGGGGTGGGGGAGCCCTGCGGCTCCTCCAGCCAGCAGGTCCCCCCAGTTCCCGGCCCCTCTCACCTTGCCCATGTCCGCAGCGGTGGCCTCCAGGACCGCCTGCTTCTTCTCATCCAGGAAGCGTCCCAAGGCTTCCAGCTGGGCCACGCGGTATTCCATGGGCCGTGTCTTCCTGGAGAGCCAGGATGCCCGCAGGTGGCTCACCAGCCCAGCGTAGGGGTTCCCGCTGTGGGGACAGGGGTGTCAGGGGGACCCCCAGCCCCATCCCAGCTCCTCCAAGTTCCGCATCACCCTATCCTGTTATCCAACTGCTGCTCTAGGGAGAGGACAGAGCACCAGGACCCCTCCTGCCGCCCCTCTATCCCACCACACTCTTACCTCATGGCATCACCATCCACACTCCCCTTCCCACCATCACCCTCAGGGGCTCTCCCAGCCCCGCTCCCAGCAGGCTGCAGGAAGACACTGTCGGTCTCCATGGTCCCACAGGAGCAACACAAGGGTGGTTGCGCCGAGGCTGCCAGCTGCAGCTTCCTCCTTCCCTGGAGGTGTCCAGAGAAGGGCGGTTGCTAGCTTCCTGCCCTGCCCCTTGGCTGCCTGCATATCACTGCTGGCTCCATTCCAGCCAAATTCAGCCCAGGGCATCTCCCAGCACCCCCCAAACCGGAGGACAGAGGCACGAAGAGAGGCAGGAGAGAGCTCAATGCAAAGTCTTTACTATAGGCAGAGTTACATGGAGGAAAGAGCAACAGTGAGGAGAAGGAGGATCATCCCCAAGGAAAGGTCCATGTGATAGGAGATGGGGCTGATGGGACCATTTCTCCACCAGGAAGAGGAAAAAGAGTTTCTGGGCCGTTTCAGCTGCTTCCTGGAAAACGGTCCAGAGCAGAGGCCACAAGCGTGCAGGAGGGGGCATCCATCCCGGCTGTCCAACGCGCTCCCGCGAGGCAAAGGACACGGTGAGGATCGGGGGGCAGTCCTGGTTCTCCACACCGACTCTGTGCACGGAGACCCTCGGAGCAGGACGTGGGACCCTCAGAGCAGAGTGCAGGTGCCCCTGCGCTTGACCTCGAAGGCGGCCGTGAGGAGCCCCAGTTTCTGCTGGGTGTAGGGCGGGTAGCGCGGGGCGTTGATGGCCTCCAGCCCCATGCTCCGGTGCAGGCAGCCCCGGTGGTGGGAGAAGGTGTCGAAGGTGAACTTCCCGTGGTATCTTCCCAGGCCACTGTTCCCTGGAACACACAGGACAGGTCCATGCTCAGGATGGGACTCTGCTCCTGATGACACCCGCTCTGAGCATCAACACGAGGGAAAAAAAACGCCACGGGCTTTTCTCTGCTGAGCAACACAGACATGGTGGAAGAATTCCATCCTTCCCAGTGCCTCCTACAAGTCTATGGATATGCAATCCAACCAATCCTGCTGCAGCTCAGCAGCTTGGAGGCCTCAGCATCTCATTTTTACCCACCTCCATTTATCTACACAAGCTTTGTTGGGTCTACAAGCCTTGATTTCCCTCCATGATGCTCCTCTGTATCTCCCCATGGTTGGAGCTGTTCCATGTTCTTGCTGGAGCTCTTAAAACCTGAAGCCACATTGGCAACACCAGTTCTCCCAATTCCTGTGGCTGGTTTAACTGGAGGTTGAGTCCGGTGACTTCCCGTCTCACCCCAATGACTTCAGCCCATTCACCTGCTCTAAAGTGGCTTTAGCTGATAATTGGAGGTGGTTGGTCTGAATCATTCCCAATTAAGATAAGTTACGGAATGGGAAGTACCAAAAATTGTTTGCTGAGCCACAGGCAGGTGAGGAATTAATTGTCAAGGTGTTTCATTATGTCTGACTCAGCCACCAGCTCTGACAGAGTTGCTGAGAAGGGGCACCACCAAAGGGAGGGATTTATCCCAGAAATATTTTGGGGAGAGATGAGGAGATTGGGAATTATTCTAGGGAACAACACTCTTGTATTCCTGCATCCCTGGACCGTGCCGCAGCAAAGGCCCAGGGCTGAGTGACCTCGCTTTTCACTTGGGAAAACAAATTGCACCAACCCAGAGAACAAAAACTTCCTCTTTTCCGAGGAGGATCTCCAAGGTTCCATAAGAGGTTCTCCACGTATTTATCAGTTCCTACTCTTCCTAAGAGGCAGAATGAAGTTGGTCAGGCCTGGGGGCTCTGGACATACCAATCCCTCCGAAGGGCAGCGAGGTCAGCGTCACGTGCATCAGGGTGTCGTTGCCGCAGAAGCCGCCGCTGCTCGTCCGCTCCAGGACCTGGTTCACCACCTGGGAGGGAGCAGAGAAGGTGGGAAGTGGGTCTCCAACCTCACTCTCGCACCTCCAGCTGCAATCCATCCCCCCTAACCAGGGCTGTGTGCTCTAAGGAAAATATCTGGAGCTCAGACATGGCTGGACACGCCTGCCAAGGAGCACAGGGCGGGTGCAGTCCTGGTGTCACTCTACCTTGTCACTGGACGAGAAGGCGTAGATGGCCAAGGGCCGCTCACGGCTGTTGATGAAGTCAATGGCTTCATCCATGTTGGCCACGACGACGATGGGCAGGATGGGCCCAAAGATCTCCTCCTGCATGACAGGGTCCGAGGGCTGCACGTCCGCCAGGATCGTGGGAGCTGCGGAGAAGAAACCCGATGGCACCAGCCGGACAGAGAGGTTGGAGATGACACCTTGGACCTCCTGCCAAGACCCATCTCTAAGCACCCAATTCCTATGGAAACCTTCCCTGAACCTCATTTTCCTCTAGAGCCCCCCCTTTCAATGTGAGGCCCTCTCCACACGCCATATCTGCTCCACGCACAGACAAAGACGTGCGTGAGGCCCAAGCCCTCACCGATGTAGCGCT